CACCACTATTCTTAGAGAAGTAAAGCAACTGCGCTAATTAAGTCACCATATTAAGTGTCCAAAGAAAACACTGACTCAAATGGAATAAAATACACACTAGTCAAAATATGCTTCAGCCATTATAAAGTCACAAATCTTGTACACAGACGGGCACAGACAGTAAGGCTGGAATACACGTGTATGAGAAAATGCCATGTGTTCATTTAAAAAAAAAAAAATCACAGGTTTTAGAGTTAAACATCTAACTGGTGTAAGAGAAGATACAGAATTGCCATGATTTCCTACTCCATGCTTAGAACAGCCTTTATGGAACTATCAAAACAGAGGATAAGGCTGACTTTTGCCATGTATTTGATTAAAAAATGAGGGGAAGTTCATTTTATCAAAATAAAAAGGATGAAGTTTAGGTTTTAATGTTGTTTCTCTAAGAACTAAAAATGACCTAGTATCAGTCAAATGCAGCTGGAAGTTCACTGTCCTCCTCTTTGTGGAGACAGCGTGCCTGTCCTCTCCTAGAGACCAAGCAGGGAGGTCCACACAGAAACATCAAGCAGGCCGGGCGCGGTGGCTCAAGCCTGTAATCCCAGCACTTTGGGAGGCCGAGATGGGCGGATCACGAGGTCAGAAGATCAACACCATCCTGGCTAACACGGTGAAACCCCGTCTCCACTAAAAAATATAAACAACTAGCCGGGCGCGGTGGCGGGCGCCTGTAGTCCCAGCTCCTCGGGAGGCTGAGGCAGGAGAATGGCGTAAACCCCGGAGGGGGAGCTTGCAGTGAGAGACTCCATCTCAAACAAACAAACAAACAAACAAACAAACAAACAAACAAAAACGTCAGGCAGCACGTGGACCTGACATGCTCACGGCAAATTTGTCTTTTTCTTTCTCACTTCAAAGTTTTTCTAACATTTACATTATTCAAAATCCAAAACAGAAGAAGCTGGACAGAGGGCGGGAGACGGAAGGAAAAGACAAGAGGTTGTGTTCAATCCTCACTTTCAAGGAGAGTGAAAATCTGCTTCGGCGGCAGGCAGGATGCGTCTAACTGTGCCCAGCTTTTCTCATGGGGCATGTTGTCCCGGAGAAAACACACTGAAACGTGCCTCTCCAGAAGCAGCCGTCATCCGTAGAGACGTGATACTCTGAGAGTGCCTCTGGCGGCCTGTGCATCTCTCTGCTATGACTGTCCAATCAAGTCACTAGAATAAAGAACAGGCTTCATGATATCCTCTGCCCTGGAGGTTTCTGAAATCAGGATGCATTCTTTCTACTAAGGAAATAATTCTTATCATAATTGCCACGGGATAATTATGATCTAAAATTACTATTGTTGGTGACTGTCAATGATGCATAAAGAAGAATACAGCTTGATTTTCAAAGCCTAACCCTGAAGAAGCAAGACAATTAAAAGCTTGTTTTGACTAGTTAAAATGAACAAACTTGACACAAAAGTCACAAAGGAAAAATTCTACAGAGGGAAAGTATCATCAACTGGCCTGACTTGGCATTTCTCTAATACAAGTTACAAGCTCCAAGTGCAGGGGAAAGACCTTTCAAGAACCAGAAGGTCAGGCCAAAATTCATGACTGCAGAGGAACTGTGGGAAGGAGGTGTGGTCCCCCAGACCATTCAGGCCAGAAAGGAAGAAAGGTCATGACTCCCACTGTCTTCAGGGAACACGACGCAGCACGTTCTGCAATGTCATGTAATGGTAACTTGATACTACATAACGTACAAATGATCTAAAAGAGAACAACGTTAACATCTGCAAAATGAACAGGTAAAATTCCCCACCTGTGGTTCTGTAGATTTCTGGCTCAGGCGGTCGAATTCCAAGGCAGGCAGCGAAGAGGCTCCCACTTCCCGGAGCGCACATGGGCCACTCGGGCATCTGGGCCAGTATGATCCGACGCACTGTGTGACCTTCATGCTCATAAGGACAACTGAGTAGAGCTTTCAGTACCAAGAAATATAAACGACTTGCAAAAAAGATATTTAAACAGGCACAAACAACTTGGATAACATTTAATTTATTTTATTTTAGGCCTTACAGAGACTCAATTTTGAAAATCAAAAATAAATGAAGGCCCTCATTTCAAAAAGTGAACTTTGACCAACAGAAAAAATATGTTCACATTACCTAACAAGCTGTATTTTCAGAAGGAATCCTTTAATTCAGAAATGCGTATCTCACAAAAACATCTTCTCAACATATCATTTCAGAAAAAGCAGGAAAGATGACTTTTTTTGCCTCATTGGCTACAAATCATCTGTCCAATCCATTACAACTATCTTTTACAGTAGCCTGATTTACGTCTGAATTAGTTAAGAAATCCTGAATGACCCAAACCCAACACTAAGAACACAGAAAGCAGCTCCATGTGTCAAACATACAATTTCCTTCTTTTCTTCAAACACCTGTTCTGCTCATACCATTAAGATCTTTAAAATTCCTGGAATTATCTTCTAAGATCATTGAAACAAGAGAGCCACTATCTCCATTTCATCCTGAGCATAAAGCACTTGTAAATGAGTGTAGATTCTGTGACAAATAAACACATGATTATATTTCAAAGGATAATTTATTATTTTCACTACTGGGAGGTAGGTAATCTCAATGTAAGCATTCTTTTTCTCCTTTCTTGAAATCTGTAAACAGCACCCTGTGGTATGCACAAAAGGCTGTCTCAGTAAAATACATTTTTTCATGTGGTTGGTTTTGCTCTTATTCCTGAATAAACTAAGTCTCTCACTTAATCCATCTTTCACTTCAAATACCAATTCGCTTAGCAAACCCTTTCTGTGCATTTCACAGAGGCGAATCTCAGTCCTAGCTCCCTCCCCACCCGGTCAACATACCTTGCATAAACGCAGACATGCATTTAGCCAGCCACGGTGGTGTGCACCTGCAGTCCTAGCTACTCAGCATGCTGAGGTGGCAGGATCACTTGAGCCAGGAGTTCAAGACTGCAAGTGAGCTATGATCATGCCACTGCACTATAGCCTGGGTGACAGACTGAGACTCTGTCTCAAAAAAATAAATATAAATATAAATGTAGACATTCAACGAGACACGGGCCTGCTTCTGCCGAGCACTCGCAGTTCACAGAGGTTATAGGTGAATTAATCCCAACTGTAAGATGTACTGTAAATGAAATGAGGTCTATTATATATAGCAAACTATAATTTATTGTATATATTCTCAATTATTTAACGTGGCATATTGGTACTATATTCTGTTAGCCTGCTATTAATACTCCCAACTCAACATACTACAGGGGTCCCTGAAGTTTAAAGACTAGGTTAGCAATATACTGGCAACAGCATCTTTGTAACATTCCCGGTGCCAAGTAATACAACAGAACTTCTCACATCTCCAGAGAATTTTTTACTAGAGAATTTCATATCACTCAAGCAGTACCTCATTGTCTATTAGATAAACACAACATGATTATGAAACTGGATGGCAACAAAACTCAAATGGACTGAACAAAAGATGACTATGCAGGAAAAGCAAATTTCAGTTTCAGGATTATTAGTAATAAGAACCTCCAATTTATCCCCACTGGAAAATATGCAACACGAAAAGCAAAAGGAAATTCTTTTAGAAGAATTTCATATAACACAAGATTTTAACATAGGCAGTCTCCAGTGGTTAAAAAGAAAAAAACGAGGAATGTGTTTCATATCTAAAAAATAGCATTTAAATATGCAAAAGTGTGAATTATTTAAATACTTAAAACATGTCAATCATGTTTAGGTTTGAAAACGTGGCGTCAATGTGAAGCAGTGCTTTCAGCCCTCTGTGTCAGGAGACAACGGAGCTACCTGCCCAAGACTGCAGACGGCAGAGACACAGCCGCATCTCCCCGTACTCTCCCCGGCCACCAGGAAGAAAGATTCCAATCACAGCGCGTTCATTTAAAAAGCATTCTAATATGATAATCAGACTCATCAAATGCAAACTTTTTTTCCCCTTTAAACTACTCTTTAAATTTGGCCAAACTAAGTACTTGATACAAAAATGCTGGCAAAGAGCAGGGGTCCCTGCAGACTGTGTGGCAAACCCTGACATCCTCTTGCCTTAGCAGATAAGTCAAAACAAGGACAATCTAAAAGGAGGCCATTCCCTCATCCAATTAGCAACGGAAGGGTTAGAACTGAAATAATCACTGTTAGAGCATAGGAAACAGACACACACATACTCAAACACACCCCACCACCCCAGCAACGCTCACAGCTGACAATGGCTGAATTTCATTACAAGCAAATGATTTAATTACAGCTTTTTTATTTAAAAAAAATAATAAATCAGCTGGGCGCAGTGGCTCACGCCTGTAATCCCAGCACTTGGAGAGGCCGAGGCGGGCGAACCACGAGGTCAGATCAAGACTATCCTGGCTAAGACGGTGAAACCTCGTCTCTACTAAAAATACAAAAAATTAGCCGGGCACGGTGGCAGGTGCCTGTGGTCCCAGCTACTCGGGAGGCTGAGGTCAGGAGTTGGAGACTAGCCTGGTCAACATGGTGAAACCACACCTCCACTAAAAATACAAAAATTAGCTGAGTGTGGTGGCACACGCTTGTACGCCCAGATACTTGGAAGGCTGAGGTGGGAGGATCACTGGAACATGGGAGGCAGAGGATGCAGTGGGCCAAGATCACACCACTGCACTCCAGTCTGGGAGAGAGAGGGAGGCTCCATCTCCAAAAAAATTAAAAAATAAAGAAATAAAAAATCAAGTAGAATGCTCAAACAAGGGTAATTTCCCTTCGATGCAAGACAAAAAGCAGCAGCCACAATTTAAAACTTTACTCCACAATGAAATCAGCATGAATTCTGAAACGAAGACACTGGGAAATTGCACGGGTTTGCGGAGGCAAGGCCCCTGCCTACCCCAAGCAGTTAGCGGTCTCCATGACAACCTGACTCCATTTTCAGTCTCCCAACCTTTGTCTGCTTGAGAACCATGAGCTTGAGTTACTGCTGGAAAACATTTGATTTTAACAATAAATTTAAGGTTTAATGATTGTTCACCTTTCCTCTGAAAGATTAGCTGAAAAGGACACAAATAATTCACGAGACATGTTTGAGGCGATCACCACCAATACACACTTCGAAAAATACCATCACCATATATATATTTGCTTAAAAAAATTATGACAAGCTTCAGGTAAAAATAATTTTTAAAGGGTCCATTTTTCATTTACATACAATCAATACATCGTATTTACATATATATGACTGAATCTTTATTCCATTTTCTTCATGTAAGATATTTTAACTGGTAGGTAACTGCTCTATTCTGTTTTTATAGAAAGACTAAATACCTTCTTATTCAGTTTTGATGATGCTAGTTTGTCTCCAAATTACGTACTGAATACAGTTAAAACCTCAATGAATAACATAAACATTAAGATCCAGTATTAGCCTATTTTATGTGTCGCACTGGTTATTCCAGGAGTCAACTGCTCTAGTGTGCATCAATTACAGCTGCAACAAAACAGAAATCAAGTGTGGTTCTGAAGACCCTGAAAAAGAAGTATGACTTCTACGACGTTCACCACTGCTTAATACTGCTACTGATGGGAAATTCTTACACTGGGTTCATTTCTTTCCATGTAATAACACTGACTTTTCTAGTGATATTTAACTTTAAAAAGGTATTTTACTTCTTTAACCCTCAGAGAACTTGTATATTTAGACAACTAACCAAAAAAATAATCAGACACACGTATCTTTGCCCACAGTTTCCAAAGGGTTAAAGTGCAGGAATTTTCTATACTGCTGTAAGGCACCTTATTCCACTTTTTTCTTAAAGGAAACTTTTTCTTTGGTTTCTTGTAACTTTTCAGTGAGTCTGTCTTTCGTTTCTTCCATCTTCTCTGTGATAAGCTCCTTTGTCTCCTCCATCCTGTCCTGTAGATACCCCTTGACGGGTGGTGGCGTGGACATGTAGCCGTGACTGCGCAGATACTTCACAGTGAAGGATGTTCCTCCCAAAGTCACGGTGTACCGAGCAGGTGTTGCGATCTTAAGCAAAAAGCAAACAGAGACAAATCAAAACCTGGTTATTACCACCATCTGAAGCAAAAACAAGTTAAAATTAAAATTCTCGGTAGTAACCAATCAGAATAAATTGCCTCATTGTTTCACAAAGCTAATGTAGTAATATCCTATATGGTTTTCCCTCCTAACAAGAGACACTTCTTCTGTGAACTCATTTCACCAACGTTTGTCCTCCACACAATCCTGACCCAGATAACAGAATCATAGCACTGATGTCCCTAATCGTATGCTAGTAAACTTGGGGAACAGCTCAACCTGGAAATCAGAAACAGGACTCAGTACCACTAAAAATAACAAAGGAACACGTTTCTATTCCTTAAAACCCCTGCCATCCTGCCAAAAGCTTTCTATCGGGAGCTAAACTAGAACTGAATGTCTTCAAATGGTGAGAGGCAGAGCATGAATCCACTCTCTGTTGGATTTAGGTTAGCTTCACTTCCAAATCCCTTTCCTTTGACTTTTCCAAACCAATGCTACCTTCTCATTACAATCTACCCTGAGTCTCAAATCCTAGCCAGTAATTTACATGAGGCCAAAAGTAGTAAAATGGCACACCTGCTGCAGACATGCACAGGTTTAACGTTAATCGGAACTTTTAGGACCAACGGTAAATAGCAGATGACTGGTCAAAGAGAAACATAAAAGTAAAAAGGCTGCATCACATTCTAAGTCAAAAATCAGGCCGGGTGCAGTGGCTCATGACTGTAATCCCAGCACTCTGGGAGGCTGAGGTGGGTGGATCACCTGAGTTCAGGAGTTCAAGACCAGCCTGGTCAACATGGTGAAACCCAGTCTCTAATAAAAGTACAAAAATTAGCCAGGCATGGTGTCAGGCACCTGTAATCCCAGATATTCGAGAGGCTGAGGCAGGAGAATCGCTTGAACCCGGAGGCAGAGATTGCAGCGAACCGCGATTGCACCATTGCGCTCCAGCCTGGGCAACAAGAGTGAAGCTACCTCTCAAAAAAAAAAAAAAAAAAAAAAAATTCATAGGTGTTGGCAGGTACAATGGCTCACGCCTGAAATCCCAGCACTTTGGGAGGCTAAGGCAGGAGGAGTGCTTGAGTTCAGAAGTTCAAAACTAGTCTAGGCAACATAATGAGACCGTGCCGTCTCTTAAAACAAAAAGAAAGAGAAAGAAGAAAAAGAAAAGAAAAACAATCAGCCGGGAGTAAGTGGCATGCACCTGCAGTCCCAGCCACTTGGGAGGCTGATGCAGGAGGACTGCTCAAGTTTAGCAGTTCGAGGCTGCAGGGAGCTGTGACTGCACCACTGCATTCCAGTCTGGAAAACAGAGCAAGACCCTGTCTCAAACAAAACAAAACGCATAGGTGTGCTGTATAACAAAACTCTGAAAGAGCTGTCTGCTCTATCTCTAATTTCTCTCCTAAACACGTTAAGCAAGCTTTCACCCATACCTCCTCACCAAAACTGCTTTCACAGTCACAGCGACCTCTACAAAACTAAATCCAGTTGTCAATTTGGAAGCAGCCCCTGAACCACTGGAACCATCCAAGACAGCTTTCACTTCCCTTCACTTGGCTCCAGGCCCTCAACTTGCTGGGCTTCCTTCTGGTTCATGGTGGCTTCTCATTTTTGCCAGTTCCTCCCTTTTCACCCACATCTGAACATGGTGTGACAACAGTCGATCCCTGGACCTCTTATTTTCTCTACCTATCTCACTGTCTGGTCTTTAGTGCCGTCTATACATGGATGATTGTTAACTTTAATCTCCAGACTGAACTTGTCCCCTGAATTCCAGTATGTACAACCACCTCCGGAGATTTGCATGTCTAATAAGATCTCAGACTTAATGCAGGTGAGTCACTTAATAGGGACACGTTCTGAGAAATGTGTCATTAGGTGATTTTGCTGTTGTGTGAAACATCACAGAGTGTACTTACACAAACCTAGATGGTACAGCCCTCTGCACATCAGGCCACAAGGTACAGCCTATTGCTCTTAGGCTGCAAACCTGGACAGCACAGCACTGCGCCAAATACAGCAGGCAATCGTAAGACCACAGTAAGCATCTGTATACCGAAACTATCTAAACATAGAAAAGGTAGAGTAAAAACATGATATTCATAAAAACATGGGACCTGTGGGACCATCACTGTCTGCAGTCCACGGTTAACCGAAATGTTACTGGGTGGCACATGACTGCATGTTCAAAACTGACCTTCAGATCTTCAACTGTCCTACTTCAAACCTGCTCCTCTCAAAGTCTTCCTCGTCTCAGAAAATGGCAATTCTATTCTTCCAGCTGCCCAGGCCAAAAACTTACAAGAAAGCTTCAACCCCTCTTTCTCTTCCATAATTTATATCCCAATCATCAGAAAACCCCAGCAACCACGTCTTTAAAATACACTGAGAATCCAACTACTTCCTGCTACCACCTGGCTTCTGGCCACTTTTGCCTCTCGACTCAAGTACTGTAATCACCTCACCTCACACCAGGTCCCTTGGCTTTTCCCTTGGTCCTGCCATGGTCTGTTTAGAGGAGCCAAAGTGATTTTGATGGAACAGAGGCAGGATGCTTAAAACTGTCCAGTGGCTTTCCCTGTCCTCAGGGTAAAAAGCGAAGTACCTGTAAGAGCCGACAAGGCTTTCCTGATGTGACGACAGGCCATTCTCTGCCCTGTTCACCGATTCCAGACACACTGGCTTCCCTGCATCCCTTAAATACTCCCAGGATCCTGCAGCCTCAGAACTTTGCCTTTCGGGTTTTCTCTGTTCGGAACGCTTCTCCCTCTTGGAGGAGCAACTATCTCACCTTCTCAGCAAGGTGTGCCATCTCCCACTGAAAAAAAAAAAACCACCACAAACATACCCCCATCCCTGGTTTCCTTTCTTAGCACTTACCATCATCTACGTGCACATACTTTGTGTGCACAGCACTTCTAACTTTATCTTGTCTCCCCAGCCCACCATCACTCACTACACTATCTGCTCCACGAGGCAGGTATTTTGCACTGTCTTCTTTGATTCATTTACTCCCAGTGCCTAGAATGGTATCTGGCACACAGAAGAGGCTGACTAAAACTCTGGGTATATTTCAAAGAGATTATGAGGCAGTCAGTGAATATATCCTGCAGCCAACTGCCACCAGACCATACATGCCATACTTCATCTGGGGGCTTTGTCTTGATGAAGCAAAAAATCTGCATCTGTTGTTCTATTTGAGAAACTATGGGTTACAGATAACACACAGGAGAATCCCTCCATATCTCCTACTTCACAGAGGAATAGTGAGGGGGAAGAACCACCACTGGCACTCATCTTCCTACCATGACGCCTACAGCTTTGTTTTCAATCCCAACTCCACAAACACATGCTGAGCATTTTATTCACCTACAGAACACAATACCAGGTGCAGTGAAAAAACAACAAGAAAGAAGACATGATTCTGAATTCCTGGGAGCTCCTAATCAAATAAAGAAAACAAACACTTAACACCTAGCACAGACTGTGCTATCAACTGTCACGCTATGGGAGTGGGATAAGGAGCAATTAAATTAGGGAAGGTTTACATCAGCATGATAGTTTGACTTACTCGGGTTAAAGTTATACCCACCATAACTAGAAACTTGGTAATTTTTAAATTTAATACACTTTAATGTAGAAAAACTCAACAATTAAATGTTAGCTCTCTCATCAAAATTGTAATAAAAGAGGAAATCTACCAAGATTTCAGAGGATGCTAATGAGGATGACAGAATGAAACAATGCTACTTTTCAGTAATGCTATAAAACCGTAATTCTTAGATATTCTTATACAACAGAAGTAAAATAAAACATCTAGTTTCTCAGTGTTTTCCACCTTCTTAGGCAGAAGTTTCACAGACTCTCAAAAATATTTATCAATTTAGAAAATGAGATTAATATGGCTAAACTCCACAATTCACAGTGAGTCTTCCCTTCCAAAATAAAGACCCATAGGCATAGAAGCTATCAAGATGACGTTGTCAGGCCAGGTGCAGTGGCTCACGTCTGTAATCCTAGCACTTTGCGAGGCCGAGGGCCGGCAAATCACCTGAGGTCAGAAGTTCGAGAGCAGCCTGACCATCAGGGAGAAACCCCATCTCTACTAAAGAAATACGAAATTAGCCAGGCATGGTGGCATAACGCCTGTAATCCCAGCTACTCGGGAGGCTAAAGCAAGAGAATTGCTTGAACCCGGGAGGCAGAGGTTGTGGTGAGCTGAGATCGTGCCATTGTACTCCAGCCTGGGCAACAGGAGCAAAACTCTGCCTCAAAAAAAAAAGATGATGTCTGAATCCAAAGAATAGTTATAAAGATTATCAACTTTCAAAATGAAACGTATGTTAGGTTAAAATCTAACAAAAAAGGGTTTATAAGACAATTTGGATTAAACCTATTTTACTTGCTAAGAAAAGATCAACTATTAAAAACAGTAAAATAGGGGGACCTCCTCTTTCGGCTTTGGAGGACCCCCCTTCTGTCTCTGTACAGGGGAGCTTCTTCCTTCTCCCTTCCTTCTTGCCCCTTCTTGCCTATTAAACTCTCTGCTCCTTAAAACCACACACAGAAAACAAAACAAAACAAAAAACAGTAAAATAAATGCTAAATTTTGCTAACAAGTCAGGTGGCATGCAGATCACTGAATAAGAAAAATAAATATAATTAATATCTTAAAATAACTGTATCTCCATTTATCAACAGGAGCAATGTCAAACAGAGGGCTACCACCATGGAAAATCACACAAGTCTAACAATTATCTGATCACAGCAAGTTACGGGTGATCTACCAATTTTTAAGGCATTTCTTCTTAAAACCACATTTTTACTTCTGCTTTATTTTGTTATCTTGTACCCCCAGCCACTTGGGAGGCGGAGGTTGCAGTGAGCTGAGATGGCGCCACTGTACTCCAGCCTGGGCAACAAGAGTGAAACTCCATCTCCAAACAAAAAAAAAGTGTTATCTTACATTATTCACCAGACATATCAGAGATGAAATACAGTGTTTCAAGTTACAAAATACAATCGGAAGCTAACACGGAGTCTCACGGGGAGATGAGCAGGTCACTGGTGAGGTCTGAGGAGCAAGGGTTTGTCACCGTACCCACCTTAAACAAGGCATACGCTGTGAGTGCATTTCCACTCTGGGAGTTTTTCAGGATGCTTACCACACTGTCAGGTAACCCAATGAGTTCTAGAAAAGGAACGACATTCACTCCTCTACAAAAAAAAAAAAAAAAAAAAAAAAAGGTAACTTTCATATGTACAAACTTTTAAGGATATTTTCAAAAATTATCTGAAAATACCAAAACCACACTATAATTTTATTAAATTTTGCTTAAAAGTTGATTCTACATTATCAAGCACTTTACCTTTACTCTAAGAGAACATCTTACTTGATGTACAAAATGCAACATACACACAAACATCACATCACATGGTATCGTACCGCCTACAACTCCTATTTGCTTCATGTGGGCATCCTAGTATGTTTAGAAAAAGAGGCAGTTATTAGAATAAAATTAACAGCTTTAAGTAAAGTATGAGAAAAGGATTAGAATCATTTGCCTGGTCTTAGTTTCCTCAACCAAATACCACTTCCTTAGAATGCTCCAACTCACATTTTAAGACCTAAAATTTTTACCTTTAAAATTACATGGGGTTTTTTTTGGTTTTTTTTTTTTTTTTTTTTTTTTTTTTTTTTTAGACCGAGTCTTGCTCTGTCACCAGGCTGGAGCGCAGTGGCGCAATCTTGGCTCACTGCAACCTCTGACTCCCAGGTTCAAGCGATTCTCCTGCCTCAGCCTCCTGAGTAGCTGGGATTACAGGCACGCACCACCACACCCAGCTAATTTTTGTATTTTTAGTAGAGATGGGGTTTCATCATATAGGCCAGGATGGTCTCCACCTCCTGACCTCATGATCCGCCCACCGCAGCCTCCCAAAGTGCTGGGATTATAGGTGTGAGCCACAGTGCCCAGCCAATTACACGTAATTTTATGTGTAACACTGCATTGTAAAAGCAAGAGACATTTTAACATCACGTTAGTGTGTTATCATGCAAAGAATAAATGATACTATGGGTTTGATGAAAACTTCACTTACTCTAAAAGGATGCTTCTATTAACATTCTTAAGGCAGCTGAAGAAGCAATTAACATATATCACAACAAATTTCTGGAGACAGGAGAGAAGGCAGAGAAAGTCTCCAACCTGAGCCGTGACTTCATTTCCAGTTTCCTGATTATTAACATTTCTGAGCCGTGACTTCATTTCCAGTTTCCTGGTTAACATTCCTGAGCCCTGGCTGCTTCATTTCCAGTTTCCTGATTATTAACAGTCCTGATCCCGACTTCTTCATTTCCAGTTTCCTGGTTATTAACATTCCTGATCCCGACTTCTTCATTTCCAGTTTCCTGATTATTAACAGTCCTGAGCCCTGGCTTCCTCCTTTCCAGTTTCCTGATTATTAACAGTCCTGAGCCCGACTTCTTCATTTCCAGTTTCCTGGTTATTAACATTCCTGATCCCGACTTCTTCATTTCCAGTTTCCTGATTACTAACGTTCCTGATCCCGACTTCTTCATTTCCAGTTTCCTGATTATTAACAGTCCTGAGCCCTGGCTTCCTCCTTTCCAGTTTCCTGGTTATTAACATTCCTGATCCCAACTTCTTCATTTCCAGTTTCCTGGTTATTAATATTCCTGAGCCTTGGCTTCTTTATTTCCAGTTTCATGATTATTAACATTTTGCCACAATGGCTCTTGCTCTCCCTGGACACTGTGACCCTTCACCCCTAAATTAGAACGAAGACATTCACCTACACAAACACCACATTTATAACAGACACGACAGTCTACAGTTAATATATAATCTAGATGACAGTTTCCTAAATTGTCCCAGTATACCCCTTATGGCTATTTTTCCTGTCTCTCTAGTCTGCTTTTCTCTAGAAGTGCTTCTCAGCATTATACGGTGGAGGAGGGCAGGATGTCTCTCTTGACACTGAGATTTCTGAAGCAAGCAGGCTGGCTGCTTTTCAAAGGACACCTCTCAACTTGGGTTTGTCCGATTGTTTCCTCAAGATGAGATTCACGTTAAGTACTTTCCACAGGAAAACAACAGAATGGACACTGTCCACCTCAGCACATCACAACAAGGGACACATAAAGTCAGTCTGTCCATCCTTAGTGTAGCAGGGCAAGCCGCAGACAAAACTCCTCAGACGCCAAGTTAAAGAAGGAAGGGCTTTATTCGGCCGCGAGCATCGCATCGGCAAGACTCACGTCTCAAGAGCCGAGCTCCGAGTGAGCAGTTCCTGTCCCTCTTAAGGGCTCACAACTCTAAGGGGGTCCGCGTGAGAGGCTCGTGATCGACTGAGCAAGCAGGGGGTACATGACTGGGGGCTGCGTGTATCGGTAATTAGAACAGAACAGAACAGGACAGGGATTTTCACAGTGCTTTTCTAAACAATGTCTGTAATCTGTAGATAACATAACCGATTAGGTCAGGGGTCGATCTTTAACTACCAGGCCCAGGGTGTGACGCCAGGCTGTCTGCCTGTGGATTTCATTTCTGCCTTTTAGTTTTTACTTCTTTCTTTGCAGGCAGAAATTGGGCATAAGACAATATGAGGGGTGGTCTCCTCCCTTATTCCTCCCCTTTGAGAACTTCACTCAATAGTGGGAGTTCTCACTTTTGTTCTCACTACCCATGTCCTCTTGCAAGACAGATCGACAGTGATTCATATAGTACACTTGTGCTGAAGCATTCTGGTGAACTAAGGTAGCGATAAAGCTTTTTATCATTTGAAGAAGTACAGGTAGCAAACAAGGGAGCAGTAAGCAGGTTCCTATTACTATTACGACTCCTATTGTAAGAGTTTTAAATCCTCCTAGCGCTGGCAACCATTTTCTAAACACAGCCCCAGGATGAAATCCATGCCACACTTGCACGGGCACATGTGCCAGTTTTGTCATATCTCTAACTATGTCTTCAACTACTTGCCCTCGATCATCTACGTGTAGACAGCAATTAGTAAGGTTAAATTTCCTACAGACCCCTCCTTTAGCTGCTACCAAGTAGTCGAGAACCAATCTATTTGGATAGATAGCATTTCTCATCTGAGTTTCTTGCTGGGCCAGAATAGTCAAGGCTCTGCCAGTCTTATTAGTGATTATATCTAAGACAGCTTCTAACCATACGATTCAGCTGACCATGTAAATGGGGGTCTGGTATCCCCACGAGCCATCTTGTGCCCAAGTACCAGGCCAATAATATTGTGTGATTCTCTCAGGGGGCCATTCATCATCTTTCCAATTTCCTATAGCTATGCTTCTCTTTTCACAGGAAGCCCAGACAGGGAAGCCCAGAAGTTCGCCTGTCTTTATGGGCAGTAGGAAGAAAGATGGTTTAATAGTGCCAATACCACAACTACCTGCCCGCTGGTCGGTAATTCGGTGTAAGCTCCATGCCCACACATCCAGTATAAGCCAGTGGGGGCTGTCCAGTCCCGGTGGGACTCCGGGTGGGTCCACACGGTTTGCAACTTTGGGCATTTACTGAATGGATTTTTCTTAGTATGGTTTGAACTCCACTAGGTGGCTGTTTTTGTAGCACTATCACACAGTTTTTGCCTAAGGCAGCTGAGTCTTCCCACAGGAAGAGTGAAGTCCTTCCCCACTCTTGCTATACAGTATTGTCTAATGATTGAGGCTGTTAGGACCCAGAAGTTATCAGGCTGATTCTTTTGAGCTGAGAATTGTTCAGGAACTGGGTCTGTAGGTACTAATTCTCGGGCTTCCCCTGGCCACTGATCTCCCATTACAGTTCCTCCACATACATAACATGAAGTGACACTGAGAGACTGGGCTACATGCTCGGCTAATTGCAAAAACGAATTTATTGTTTTTCCTGGAATTTCTGGCACTGGCACCTTCAGTTCATCATAGAAGGTTTGAAATACTGGCTCAGGAGAGCGTTTGTAAACTTCTCCTCAAACCACGACATTTACTCGAGGATCCAGTCCAGCCCCATCAATTCCTAGGGTTACACGCTCCTCTTTTTTCCAGCGAGGACCAAGGGGGTTGGTTATTACTAGTTCTAAGGGTTACACTGACCACTGGAACAGGAAGGGCCACTTTTCCCTTTCTGAAGGTGGACAGGATCCTCTTCACTTTTTATCCAAGTAGCCTAAATGACAGAAGACCAGTATCCACATTCATTTCCACACAGTCCTAATTCTGACAGACGTACTTATTTTTTGCCATATAGCCCCTTTCCTAATTAAGAGAACCACATCCTATTCCTACCTTGTTACTATTAATGACAGCACAGGCATCAAACTTCAAGGTGACTTATTTGGACACCCCTTTTTCTTTTGTTTTGGCTAACACTTTACTCGTATCATTTATGAGGCCCCACCAGTCCTCAGCCCTTAATCTTATTTTAAAAACTGTGGTCATGGGAGGCTCAGATGGGTCATAACACACATCAGGTTGGTCATTTCCTGGGCTACACACCTTATATAGAATACCATTATACAAACAAGTTCTTTCTAGAGTCCCAGTACACTTATAACAACCATAAAATAATAGGACTGTAGCAACTTTTTGTCCTACCTCAGTGACTTGATGTATACACTGGGAATAGTCCTCAGTCTGAGGAAGGTCAGTCCTTACTGGACAAGCCCAAGTTTTAAGGAAAATGAATACCGCGATGAGTTTTCTCACGCTTCGGCCGTGTGTGGACCAGTCAGCTTCCGGGTGTGACTGGTGCAGGGCTTGTCATCTTCTTCAGAGTCACTTTGCAGGCACTGGCGAAGCTGCTCCCGCCCACAAGCTCACAGTCTACTGATGTTCAAGGACGGTCTCCGAGGTTGGGCCCTCTACAATAAACAGAGTCTAACACCTTTACACAGTTATGTTCAACTGGGCTCTGTGATCCCGGGAGCAAGGTGGCAGAGTTTAGGGTGCTGCAAACTTCAGTGGGTATGTGGGGATTTTCACACAGCAAGCTTTGGTACTTGGTTAATCTGGCATTTGGTAGCCAGTGGCGGTCTTTGGTCATCAAAGTTACCACAGCATGGGGGACCTTTACATTCAGGTTTTGCCCAAGGGTTAGTTTACCTGCTTCTTGTGCTAACAGGGCCCTTAGACACAGGGGCCAGCCTTCGGAAACCCCGTCCAGTTGTTTTGAGAGATAGGCCACTAGCCTTGGCCA